AAACTGAATTACTGGCTGCATCCAGTGAGTCACACAGTCAGACAAAGGGATTGATGGGGTGTTTGGGAGTATGACATCATCGCCAGATCAGAGGGGGGTTGTGTTATACTTTAAAGATGGACATGTGTAGGAGTGGAAATGTCTGTGAGTGAGATCATATCAGTGTGAACAAGTTCCTCTGGTCTCCTCTAAGCTGAGCGGGTTTAACTAGTAGCTCCTAACTCATGGCTAAGATGGTGGCAGAGGAGTTAAGGGCCCCCACCCGCTCTGTTCTGGGGCAAGGCACTTCACCCCCTGGAGGTGTCTAGGGTGTAAGGTAGCTGTGGCTGCTGTGTAGCTCCTCACCACCTTGCAGGGGTGTTGGAGAAGGACACTAGTTACAGACGCTGACATGGATCCCATAACCTCTCCCTTTTCCTTCATGAACACAGAAAACGCTCCATGATGGCCTTCTTCTTCCTCTCACAGGTTTGCTTTATCAGGCAGCTAAAATGACTTTCTAATAATCATCTCACTGACTTTCTTCTACAGTTTCTGTGGTTGTCATGGATACGGTATGCTAAGAGAGTGGCGAGGTGTTGGATCTCCGCTGTGGGTGACATTTCTGTGTGGAGGAGACGGATGTGTAAAGTTTGAGTTTGGCCGAGGCAGTGATGGCTGCCACCTCGTGTTCTGAATCTCAGCCCCTCCCACCTGTCTGTTCTGATAACAAGTGTCCGTGCTAAAGCGTGTTCAGCACATCACCTGATGGGTGGATGTGTCTGATTAGCGCTTTGCTGCCTTCATCCTTGGGTGGTGCACTACTGACTTTTCCATAACCACACACTTGCAAAGCACCATTCCCCACCACCACCACAATGGTGACACACTCTACTCCACCGTCCCACTGCATCACTGAGAAAGCCATTAAGGGTGGGGGGTGGGGTGGATGCTGGCTGAACAACCAGAGCCACAACTTTGGCTAATGCGTGCATGTAACCATGGAGGGTTGTGATTCACTTTGCTGCTCTGCCCAGAATCAGGAACAAATAACCAGAGTGGAGAAACACGACCGAGGTGATGCTTCCATTTCAGGGTTCAGTTCAGAATAGGGCTGCAACTGTTTGTCGACGTTGTCGCCAGACGTGTTTTTTTCCGACCCAGTGAGATGCGCAATAGCTTCTCTGCTGAGCGTCAACTAACAGAAATGGCGGCGTCCAACACAGCAGCGACGCGTACCAAAACATCTAAAGTTTAGGAGCATTCTATCCTGGATTCAGCGAATAAAAAGATGACCTGCATTATTTGCAAAGCAGTCCTCGCGTATCACGGCAGCATCTCGCTGATACATGAACACTTAAAGAGAAAGCGCATCGGACAGTTGAATGAAACAGTCTGACTCACCTCGGTATAATTTAAATAACTCGAAAGCCAACATGTTTTGTTTTGGATGTACATTTATTTAAACGTATTTTCGCTTTAAAAAAGAGATTTAATGTTATGCCCGACTGTGCCTGACAAAAGTATTTTAATTTTATTTATGCATTTATGTCTGTACTGACTGAGCACTGTGCCTAATTGGTGTTAGACAGGGCATTTTTATTTACTGTTAGTATGAATCGGCCTATCAGCAGCAAAGTTCAATAAAATATGCATTTTCCATTGAGGTATCCATCTTTCTTGTGTTTATTATCATTTTTCACACAATTAAAGCGATCTCATGCTAAATTTAAGAAAAATTTAATAATTATCCGATTAGTCGACTAATCGTTTCAATAGTCGGTGACTAGTCGACTATTAAAATATTCGTTAGTTGCAGCCCTAGTTCAGAAATGCTTCTGCAGCAGCAAGAAGCTAACAGGTCATGTTAGAAGAATTTCATCATCTAAACGTTCTTTTATTAAAGACTCCTGAAACTTGTTTCATATTGACTCCTGTAGCATCACTACAGGCAGTATATCCACTACCCGCCCTCTCTCCTGGAAGGGTTGGATGTCTGGTGTCCTCCACAAGCCTTCAAGACACCAATGAGCAAAAGGCTGCTGTCTGCAACCGCCGAATATCTGCTCTCACGCACACACACGCACACACACACACACACACACACACACACACACACACACACACACACACACACACACACACACACATTCTCATCTGGCATGCAGTGTGAGGACCATCAATGACTTCCATTCATTTTAGAGACTGCATTGTGCCTAACCTAACCTTAACTAAAACTTAGTCTGCACCTCTAAAACTAACGAGTAGAGCTCTGTATGTCCTCACTTTGGTACAGATATGTAGCCTGGTGAACTAGACCAAGCACTCTGCTTTGTGGGCCAATTACAGCGCTCTATTCGCCTTGTGGGCTACTCAGAGCCCTCTATTCGTCTGGTGGGTGGGATGAAGCCACAGAGAAACAGCTTTTTTAGCCTGGCCACGCTCCATTGACGGCTCTCGGTTGTGGGGCGGGTTCTACCGTTGTCTTTCAAATGATCTCCGCATTCCACTGGACAATGAATGTGACATACTCTTGTTTCACTCTGTTGCATCATCCCACCCACCAGGCATATAGAGTGCCCTGATTGGCCCACAAAGCAGATAAAGCTCTGTGATTTGTTCACTAAGCAGATAGAGCACTATGATTGGCCCGCCATTATGGACCAATCACAGCTCTTTATGTGTTTGAAACCCCTCAAGAGAGCTGTGATTGGCTAGCCAGAGTCCTGGTAGGAGCTGCTGAGGTTCCAATGGAGCATGCCTAGACCATTCTTTGCAAAGCAAGAATTTGGTCTAGTTCACTAGGCTAACAGCTTTTACATCAGTTATGGACTATTTGGACTTGGGCTCTATTAGAATCAGGAGCAGATAGATGTATTTAAGTCCTTTATTTTAAAAAAAGGATGTATTTTCATATTTTTCAACAGTGGACTGCCTTGTTTACCGATATCTTCTGCGGTGAGCACGTCACTTTGTTCCTTGTCCAGTAGCAAGCAGAGATTGGTTGAAAGGCTACGTTAAACCCACCCCACGACCAAGAGCCGTCAATGGAGCGTTGCCACATTAAAAAATATATTTACTTAGTCTGGCTTGCCAGGCTAAGTAATGTCCTCAGTTTGCAGGTAAAAAGCTTGTCATTGGTCCTCACTTTGATATATAGACACACACACACACACACAGTTTTGACTTTAGAAGTGGGGGGGGGGGGGGGGGGGGGGGACACAACTGGCATGATGACCGGGGGGTGTGGGGGGGTATTTACAGTAAGTATAGAAAAATGTGTTTAACACCACAGCTTACAGTCTCTTTATGTAATGTCAGGAATGCTGAACTATCAAGTGCACAGGTGTCAGGAACGGCCAATCACACGTTAGCAAGTATCAGCAGAGCCAATAGATGAGCTTATGGACGGTTTTAATGGGAAACCGGCTTCAACACAAGTGGCTTTTTTTGTGCTTGGTCCTAGTGCTCCACCAGTGTCTATTTAAAGAGCAAGTCACCCCCCAAATCAACTTTATCTTGCTGATAAGCTACATAAACGAGTGCCTAATGGTGCTGTAGGCACATGTAGTCAATTATTTGGTACTTTAGTTCATCTTAGTTAAAATGAACATATTCAGCCTAAAACTGTCAGTGTTATGCCCTCTTCAGGTAAAATCTCTGCACTGCATTTGAATTTAAATCTGCCATCGCTACTGGCTAACGGTACACTATGATGTTAGCTGGAACATTATGATGTCACAACGTCATTGTGTGTGTGTGTGTGTGTGTGTTAGTGGCTCCGCCCTCTTGGTCTACCAGTCTAACAGCTGTTGTATTTTTCTAACAGGAAGTGAGTTTGGAGTACGACTCTAGTAGGGGGTGACTTGCTCTTTAATATGGCGTAATATTGTTTTTGAATGGTAAAAAGTGCAGGGGACAAAATTGACTTTGGAAAAGGTGAGGGGGACATGTCACACACACACACACACACACACACACACACACACACACACACACACACACACACACACACACACACAGTCACAGAGATTTTGACTTAATCACTTTTCTCATTAATGTGGCTCCACCTACACGTTTCTGCTCCAGGACTGCACTGAACTTTTCACATTTATTTTAAATGTACTGGTTTATTTTGTTGCTCGTCATTCATGATTTGGTTTAATTTCATTTCTTTTATTAGATTTATATGAGTCATAACACAAGCCACTCTTTGATGGACAGCTATGGATCCAGTTGCAGAAGGTAAAATCACTGAATGCCTTTCATTTTCACCGTTTATTCTGTCCTACTCCTGACTCTGTTCCTTATCCCGTCAAAAGCCTTGACCTTCTTTCCTGACAAACATCATTTACAGCACTGAGTTCAAAACCAAAACAAATGTAACGTACGGTGCCAAAGCTTTTACTCACCTAATTGCTGTAAGTGGGGCCGGATGGACTTGATCAGTAGAATGGAAGTCCATTTGCAGCATGTTTCCAGGCTTTGTGATGGTTTCCATGCTTTTTTTTTAAAAAAGTTAGCTGATTAAAAAAAACAACAACTATTCAGCCTCTGAACGAGTGTTTGTTGTTAGTGGCTTGGCACAAAAGCAGTGTGTTGAGTCTACAAACAACACCAGAGATATGCAAGAAAATGTATCTAAATACACTAGGTGTGATCCTCTCTCTGAGGTTTGCTTCAGCCTACGAGCTCACATGAGAAAAACACGTCTTGTTTGAAGAGTAACTGAAACTTTAGTCTGGAAATCTGTTGCTCATGTTCAAAAGAGTCCCAAGTCTGGGTGGCTCAAGACTTTCTCAGTGCTGTCGTTAACTCTTCTGTCTTGTCCTGACCTCTGACCTCTCGGATCTGAACAATATGTAATGAATGTCAGAAGGATGCTAGGTCCAAACATGAGAATGGCAGCATGATGATCCTACATCCTTCACAATAGAACAACACTGGTTGCTGCTGGTTACCTCCAGAGCTGCACCGCTGCTTCCAGCTGTTAACCTGCTGTGTTGTCTGTTGCCTTCCAGGTAGAGAAGAACGAGGATGCAGATCAGAAGATCGAACAGGATGGCACTGCCAACAAACCCGAGGACAAGGCCCACAAGGCTGCCACCAAAATACAGGCTAGCTTCCGTGGACACATAACTCGGAAAAAGATGAAAGATGGAGAGGAGGAGAAGGAGAAGGAAGGAGATGGTCTTGCTGCAGAGGAAGTAACAAATGGAGAAGAAGAGCCAAAGGTGAATGGAGAAGAGAAACTTACTGAGAAGGAGGAAACTGCAGGAGAGGAGACCAAGAAGGAGGTGGAGGAGACAAACCAAGCCAAGAGCCCAGTGGCAGACAAGTCAGCTCCAGCAGACACGGCGATGTCTCCTGTAGCGGCAGCACCACCTGCTGCTTCTCCCACAGCACCCTCTGAACCTCACCAAGAGGAGCCCAAGGTGGAGGAGAAAGCTCAGGAGAAGCCCAAAGAGGTGGTGGCAGCAGAGAGTCCCACCACTGCCACTGAGAAGGAGGAGGAGCAGAGTGAACAGAAGAAGGAAGAGGAGGCCAGAAAAGCCGACGTGCCTGCTGCTGCCAGCCCAACAGCTGAGAAGGAGGAGCCTAAACAAACAAACGGTATACAAGGTACGCAGATGAGGAGACGCAGGTTCTCAGGCTGTCGGATGTGTGAACGTTTAGATCCGAGTCAGTTATTCCCTACCTTCCTACAACCAAGTACTGCAGACCTAATAGAGCAGACTCGGTGAGCTCTGCGTAGTCTTCGTGGCAGGCTCTTCGGGACATCGCTGCTTGTTGAGTCTTTGGGATTTAAAGGCTGTGCTAAGTCATTCACTGTTTAGGACAGAAGTACAGCTCGCTAGTCCATCAGACTGCTCTGCTTTAGATATCAGCTCAGTGTGATCAGCACGGCTCAGCGTGTTGGTGTTATCCCGGGGCTGACCACAGTCAACGTGAAGAAAAATGCCAGGGGCCTCATTTATCAAATGTACTTACGCACACATCTGCGTATTTTGTGCGGAGGAACAATTCTACGCATTGTGTGGAATTTATCTTTTTGTACTTGTGCGTAGAAACGTTCCTAAATGCATGAACAGCTCTGACTGTGCGTAGGAACCAGAGTTGAACGATTAATTGCATATGCAATTAAATTGCAATTTGACAAAAGGAGATGATTTAATCGCAAACGCTGTGATTTGACTGGCAGAGAGTAGTTAGCGCAATGCTATTAAACATGGAAAAACCCATAGGGATGCTAATGCTAATATCGCCGATTACATTCTTACAAATTACGAATTAGGAACATGCCAAATGATTACATTTGGAGTCTAAAAAAAGTAAAAACTGTCATTAATCAAATAAGTACAGATAAATATTTTAGTAACGATAGAAACTGTAAGAGACTTCAACTCCACCGAGTTTTGGCTAGCAGCTATGAACGTAACTGAACTATGGAAGCTCTGCATGGAAAAGACATCAAAAACTCTTAACACAAAAGACTTCAATAAACGGGACACTCTTCTATCCTGCTAATAAATGTTCACAGTTGATGCTAATACCTATGCTCCTTCAAGGGATGTGCTCCTGGCTGCCAAGCATCGCACCTTCAAATACGACATTTTGTCTTTACTTGTGAGTGTTTATGTAGACAAATAAACTTGTTGATATGATATGTAGATAAATATGTAGATACATAAACGTGTTTATATTCAGTACAAGTTACATAGATATTTTTTTTGCTTCCATTAGTTGAAAAATGAGAAAACCCCTTAAGAAAATAATCATGAATTAAATCGCAATACTGAACAAAAAAATCACAATTAGACTATTTCCAGAATCGTTCAGCCCTGGTAGGAACAGCATCTAGTGGCAGAACGGCCAACACCGAATGTCTCCATCATCCAAATGTGTTCCTCATCCACAGGTTTTATTTATCCAGTGTGTAGTTTTGTCGGTGGAAAAATGGCTTTTTCGCATAATTTGTGCTAAAACCAATAAAAGACGTGTGACCGACGGCAATCTGACATCATGGCTGATCTGTGTTATTGGAGGATTTACCAGAATGTGTTCTCAAGAGGGAACCCGTTCTCCGTGAGCGCTCTGACCTCAAAGGAAGTCCTTCTGCTGGGATCTGGGACCCTTTGTGGTGCGACAGACAAACCTCACGAATCCGATCCCGGTTCATATTTTATTTTACAACTACGAGAACCCCCCAGAACCTCCTCTGCTCCCAGATCATACACGCCATGTTGCCAAGGTAACCAGACTGAATAACTTCTTAGAGGCTGCACTCTCAGACATTTACTCCAGCCAGAACGACTCCTTAAACGTAAACAAGAACCCGTTACTCTATGATTATTGTGTTTGTTCCTGACAGGAACCTCTCTGTCTCGACCACTTTTTAACCCCTTCAACTTGTTTGTTCTTTTGCGCTTCAGCAGCCAGTGTCAATAAAGTTTTTCTTATTTTTTATGAAAAAATAACAGGGAATCCCCTCACGAGCTGAGGACGTAGCATGACTGATTATGGTTAATTGAGGGTGTTTCTCTATGCAAATGGCTGTCCACAGGCACGAGCGCCTGATTACACTCAAGTGGGATTCATCAAGAGCTAATATCGGCGGAACACGCATACGAGAGGCCACCGCATGTTTCATTAATCAGACTTTTGACTTTTCGTACAAACATTCTGAATTCCGTTAGTAGGATAGAAAACAGAAACGTTTCAACCAGCGTTTGAAAAATGAGGCCCCAAGTCTTTGTTTGGATGGAACGTTTTTTCTCGCATCGCTTCACATGGACTAGATGATAGCAGGACCAACACACCATTCTCTCAATCATCACCCAATAAAGTGAAACAGCAACAGGCTCCTCCCAGACTTTTACTGCTGATGCGTTTCAGAACAAAGGCAGACTGACTTCTAAAGAGGATGGAGACGAGAGATATGGAACTCCCGCTGATGTCATTCTCGTAACGTTGAACACTCTCAGATTGAGTCAGACAGGTGGTTGATGGAGCATGCTCTGTATGGAGTGGGGGGGGGGGGGGGGGGGGGGCACATGCACACAAACAGAGAGAGAGAGATGGTGAGAGAAGCTAAAGTCCTACTTAGAAACCAGCTCATGAAGGCACCGCTGTCTTCCTTTTGTCATAGTTACCACCTTCAGTGGATGACTGGTCCACACGATCTGATGTAAATGAAGTATTAATGATTGAAACCCAAACTCGGGAGGTCTATCACAAACAACAATACCTGCTACTGGAATACCTGACCTGACTGATACATCCAGCACTGATGAGAATGAAGATGCTTCGCTGTGTTTCCCCTCTTACACATTTCTTCTGGATTGTTTTTGTCAAAGTGTCACAGGTCCGGCAGCAGGATTTCTGAACTAACCCGGTCCCTTATCAAATCACTGTGTGTAAATCACTGTTACTACTGAGAAATGTGAGTTCACATGCAGGTGAAGGTTCTCAGTCATCCAGGTCATGGTGATGCACGAGGTTCAAATGAAGGAAACTGGACTTCCTTGGTTTCGTGGCAACGTTTCCCTTCTTATTCAAGGAGCTTTGTCAGTTCTAACTGGAACATGGAGTGGTCACGCCTACAGACTGTAGCTGTGTTGTTGTTTAACCAGCTCAGTGGCTTAGTGGTTGGAGTGTCTGCCTTGAGACTGGGAGATGGTTTATCCTACCAAACCAGTGTGAGACGGAGTCGTGTGGATGCAGGAGGGTGTGACCTAGACTGAAACTGTTCATTAAGCCAATCAGTAAAGAGTTTCCTATATAAGGAATCCAACAGGTTGCATCGAGTCACTGACTAGTGTCAGAGTCTTTACAGCAATCCTCATACTAAGCAAGCATATAGCGACAGTGGAGAGGAAAACTCCCTTTTAACAGGAAGAAACCTCCAGAGAATCCTGGCTCAGTATAAGCAGCCATCCACCACGACTCACTGGGGATCGAGAAGACAGAGCAGACACACACACACACACACACGCACATGCAAACACACACACACACACACACACACACACATGCACACACAGACAAACACGCATGCACACGTACCGTGTACGCTAAACTCGTATTCGGTTCGGTTCAGTGTTTTGAAGAGCTCAGTATGATAAGTTCTCGGTATATTATTATTATAGTTATTTAATATGTGAAGAGACTCCTATAGCGAGCAGAACCAGGTGTCATCACAGGCTGCTGATCCAACATGATGTCTTTAATTACTTCACAGGTTATTTGTGCAGCTATGAGTGTCACGCTCATACAGACTCGTGTCGTGTTTGACTGATGATGCTCCTGTTTTTATTTCTGCAGCGAGCCTTAAAAACTCACCTCATACCGCCCAGTGTTTCTTCTATAAACTCGTATTAAATAGCGAGCTTCCTCCGCGCCGTGTTTTTGTTGTAGGATGTAAACTTTACATCAGTCGTCCCAGGGGAAAATTCAGCAGAAGTGTTTGTTTACATTTTTGCCGCCGTGTGAGAGAAGGGAGAGGCGACGCTCCGTTCAGCGTCTCTACAGGCTCCAGCAGCAGCGACAGCCAGCTGGTTTCATCCGCTCTGAAAGGCGTTTTTCAGAATTTGCACATCACATCATTTTCTACGGAGATCGGGCGCGTACAGCCATCATGTGTCACTCAATACAGCATCCGTGCGGAAACTCGCCTAGGAACTTTTATCTGCTGCAGTTAAATCACGCAAAGAAAAATTCATTATTTAACGGAAAAAATAAACCGAAACGGTACGCAAGTGGACCGAACCGAACTGGCCGAACCGAAAAGGTTCGACTTTTAAAAAAACAGCTGAACATCCTTTTATTTAAAGCTGTTTTTACAAAACTCTTTTTTTTCTTATATAATATAATCATTTTTCAAAATCATATAAATGTTAAATCAACATTCCCTGGACTAAGTGTCTCTTTCTCTGTCTCTTCTTTTCAAATTCATCCTATTTTTTGGCTTTCCTCTGTTATTGTTTCCTTATTTACGCTTGTAATTCCCTCCTTTCATTTGACATTCATCCACCTTTCCCCTCCTTCTATACAGATGCTGCAAAGGAGTTGAAAGCAGAGGAGACCACCCTGGTAGATGGAGTGGTGGAGTCCCCTGAATCCAAGGATAACTAAGGCCAAGTCAAACCAATTGAAGAATAACGCAAAAACACAAATTTAAAAAGGTTGCTCATTGCCTTCCCAGAGTGAAGGCAGTCTGTTTCTATTTGTCTTTTTTTTTTGTGTGGCAATGACTTTCTCATGTTGGGGGAGTTTCCAGAGAGATTTCTTCTGCTCAGACTAATAGTATGAGGAAGTTTATGATAATGTTAGCGTTGTGATGATTATAAAAATGTTTATTACCTTAATGATGACGATGAAAGAGATGATGATGATGATGATTGTTAATGTTGATGATATGGCAAAGTACATTTGGTGTGTTTTTACTATATAATGTGGTAAAAACACTGTTGAAAAACTGGCTCCCAACTGGAATAGTGACACAGATTTGAATGCATTGCTAATGCAACACATTAGATTTTTATTGTAATTCTCTTTCTTTGAAGCTTCATTGCAGAAGACCGTTTGGCAGATGTACTCACAAAAACAAGTTTTAATATGCAATTTCAGTTTTTAACACAGAACAAGTGTACGAAAAATAAGAAATGCACTGGTAATATTATAACAATAACAGTAATAGAATGTATAAATTGTGTGACATATCCAGCTGGTCAGTTGTATCTTGAATTCCAAAACAGCAAAGCAGATGGATCTATCTCCTGTCTATTTTCTTTAAGTTACTCAACCTCGGTAAAAAGCCCTAAGAAGGCCTCTGTCAGCTTTGCATTTACAGTAAAGAACCTGTTGCCATTTAAATAAAATAATCTCTAGAAAATAAGTATAGTATTGATGTGTCTGGCTCTTATATACACCAATTTGTATTCGGACAACCAAACGTGAGAACAGTAGCGCGAACAACTGAACCAGATGCATGATGGAAACTCTCCCTTCAAGAGGAACTTTTTCGCAGTCACAGAAACATAAGAGGTGTGGCAGCTTCTTTTTGATGTCTTTGGTGTTGTTATGACAGTTTATATAGACTGGAAAAAAATACTCTTGCACTGATGTAACAAAATTTCTGAAAAGAAAAATCAAACGAACAAGTAAACAAACAAAAAAAATTACTTTCCTTGTTTCAGTGAGTGCAATGACCAGTTTCAACCTTATCTAAAAGCTAAAACTTGTGAAAGAAATGGTTTCCATGTCTGTTTTCAAAATAAAAAACATGTGCCAATTACCATCATAACTGTTGAGTTTGTTTAACGCTTAGACTACATTCACACTGCAGGCAAAAGTGCATCAAATCTGCTTTTCCCCCAAAATGTGACCCATATCTTAATTTTTTATGACAGTCTGAATGCACAGATCTTATTTTTTTTAAATGCGATCCATGTCACTTGAATATGTGGAACTGATTCTGACACATATCTAATGTTTTTACAAGTGACATCAGAACGGTCATGTCGCATTAAATCAGTCTCCTACGTCACCGAATCAGCGGAGGTGAGCGTCGTGTGTGGATGTTCCTGAGGAAAAGCGCTGACAGAAGGGTTCAGGAGTCTGTCTGGACTTCCTGTTTTAGGTTTAGGAATTAAACACACAGGAGAGCATGCGGGAGGTGGAGGTGCTGCTGGAGAAAAGCGTCTCACCGGTCTCCGTCTCCGTAAAGAAAGCGGGGTCTCCGTGACAGGGGGTCGCTGTGAATGAATTAATACCAGATCATTTTTGGTGGATAATAATTCAGGGAGACGGCGGGAACAAGGAGTAAAATAGTTTACTGTTGTTAAAGCAGTTTCCAGCTGAAAAAGGACGAATTAACAGGTGTGATCCTGATCCTGTAGATAAACTGTCTGTGAAGGCTTTCTCATCGCAACTCCACCTCTCCTGGTTCCGACTTGTGAGACTTCATCTCTTTTGCGCATGCGGGTAACTTTGGGGCCATGGAGCGTGCAAACTGGAGAGTTTGATGTTGCATTTCAGTCATAGTGTGAACAGCCACACAAAAAAAAAAAATCGGATTTACTCAAAAAATCGGAATTGAGCATCAAGGCTTGCAGTGTGAACATAGCCTTAGTTTGAGTCTGCTGCCACTCCATTAACAGAAACAATTGAGTGGGAAGACAATCTACCGTGGCGCCTTATTTACAGAGGTAGACAAAAATGTTGGTACCCTTTGATCAATGAAAGAAAACCCACAATGGTCACGGAAATAATTTGTACCAGACAAAAGTTATAATAAATACAAAGGCTATAAATTCCTCCCTGGGCTGCCACCTTACCGTGTTAGAAGAGTTTGAGTGTCCAAATGATCCTAGGAGCGAAGTTGTCTGAAGCTTTATGCCTTTGGTAGCATCACACATGGCAAACAGGTCCTAGGTGAGGGATCAGACAAAGAGCAGCCCAAAGGCCCCTTATGAAGAAAAATGTACATGAAAACAGTGTTCCTTTGCCCACACACAGGTCACCGGGGCCCACGGCTGGAGCAAGGATTGGATGTGGGGAATGTTGGCAAGCGCCTGGTGGCCAGAATTTCACCCTGGCGGGGCACAGCCCGAATAGGATACGTGTGTCCCCCTTCATATGGGCTCACCACCCATGGGAGGGGCCAAAGTGATCGGTTGCAGTGTTTTACAGGTGGTAGCAGAGACCAGGACCTTGGCAGTCTGACCCTCGGCTACAGAAGCTGCCTTTTGGCAGGTGGAATGTCACCTCTTTGGTGGGGAAGGAGCCTCATTTGGTGTGCGAGGTTGAGAGGTTTTGACTAGATATAGGCAAACTCACCTCTACACATGGCTCTGGAACCAGTTTCCTTGAGAAGAGTTGGACACTCTGGAGTTGCTCCCACTGAGAGGTGCCGAGCAGGGGTGGGCATACTATTTTCCCCCCATCTTGGTGCCTGTACATTGGGGTTTACCCCAGTGAACCAGAGAATAGCCTCCCTCCACCTACGTGTGTGGGGATGGGTCCTGACTGTGGTTTGTGCTTATGCACCAAACTGCAGCGCAGACTTCCCACCCATTTTGGAGACCCTGGAGGAGGTGCTGGAGAGCTCTCCTTCCAGTGACTCCCTCGTTCTGCACGGGGACTTTAATGCTCACGTGGGCGATGACAGTGAGGCCTGGAGTGGAGGGGTAGGGAGCAAAGGCCCCCCGATCTGAATTTGAGCTGTGTTTTGTTTTTGGACTTCTATGCTAGTTATGGATTGTCAATAATGAACACCATGTTCAGGCAGAAAGATGTCCATATGTGCTCTTGGCACCAGGATACCTTAGGCTGCAGCTCGACGATCAACTTTGTTGTTGTTTTGACTGATTTACGGCCGCATGTCTTGGACACTTGGGTGAAGAGAAGGGTGGAGCTGTCAACTGACAAATACCAGGTGATGAGTTTGCTCCGATGGTGGGGGAGAAGGCCAGTCAGACCTGTTAAGCCCAAAAGTATTGTGGTCTGCTGGGAATGTCTGGCAGAGTCTCCTGTCTAAAGGAGCTTCAAATCTCACCTCCAACAAAACTTTTCGACTGAAGCCGGGGGACTGTTCCTTGCCTCCATTGTTGAGGCGGCTGACTAGAGCTGTGGCTGCAGGGTCATCGGTGCCTGTCGTAGTGCCAACCCCCAAAGCTGTTAGTGTACACCGGTGGTTAGGGATACTTCCCAAGCTGAAGAAAGAGTCCTATTAGATATTTTGGCCTGTGGGACTCCAGAGGCAACAAAAAGGCCATTCCCATCTGTACCTGGTCGGCCCGGGCCGGGCCGCCCCGGCCGGCCCCAGCCTTGCCCGAGTGATTCCTCACGTCCCTGCTCTGGAATGCGGACGTGACTGAGTCACGTCTGCATGCGGGCGGTCCCCAGAAATTGGCGGGAGAAATTGGTGCTAAGATGTCAGTGATGTCATATATCAGCGAATATTTGAGCCGCCTTGTGTTGATTGATACCTGTGTAGTGTTGTAAACAATGGAGAACTTCGTGGTGTTATTTTTCATGGTTCTGCGCTTGTGGCTCGTTTTGGGGGCCAGACTCCGCGCTAGACAGGCCGAAAGGCGTCGGCTTCGCCAGCTGAGGAGGATGAAATCTGCAAAGCGTCGCCGAGACATGCAGGAAGCCATTCTGAAGCAGTACAACACATTGCTGCGATTACGACAACGCAGACGACGCATCCTGGTAATTGCTAAAATTCTAATTCTGACGTGCGTGTTTAATACACTTCAAGTTAATAAAATACGTTTCATTTGTTTTAGATGGCTATTTTGGAAGGCTCCAGCGGCAGACGCGCAATCTGGTCACTCAACCGATCCTCTGACTGTTGGGATAATTATGTGCCTTGTTACACGGAAGCGCAGTGGTTGAAGCACTTCAGAATGTCCGAGGAGACGTTCATTTTCCTGTGCAACAAACTGCGGCCAGCATTGAAGTGAAAAGGCACTTTCTTCCGTGAGTGTGTGCCTCTGAGGAAGATTGTGGCTATTGCTTTATGGAAATTTGCTACAGGTTCAGATTACAGACCCATCAGTGTTCTGTTTGGTGTTGGCATCTCAACTGTTGCCAAGTGTGTGAAGGACTTTTGTGCTGCTGCAGAAGCATTGCTGTTGCCAGAACTGACTCATTTACCCAATGAGGGTAAATTTTGGGAGATAGCGTCCTATTTTGAGAGCAGGTGGGGGTTGCCACAGTGTGTGGGTGCTTTGATGGCTCATCCCCATCATAGCAACCAGAAACTTTCACACAGACTATTTCAACCGGAAAAGGTGGCACACACTCATCTTGCAAGCTGTGGTTGATGGAAAGGGGCTGTTTTGGAACGTTTTTGCAGGGCTTCCAGGGAGCATGCACGACGCGAGGGTCCTGAGACTTTCCTCCATCTGGCATTTGGCAAGCCGTGGAAATCTCTTCCCTGACTATTCCATCCAAATTGCTGGCGTTGACTTTGGATACTGCATCCTGGATGACTCTGCTTACCCGCTGCAAGACTGGCTTCTGAAACCATTCACAGACACTGGGCGACTGACAGAGCAGCAACTTCTTTTTAACAAGAAGTTCAGCCGGGCACGTGTGGTGGTTGAGAATGCCTTTGGTAGGCTGAAGGGAAGGTGGCGCTGCCTACTTAAAAGGAATGACTGTGACGTCAGTCTGGTGCGTTCCATGATTCTGACCTGCTGTGCCCTGCATAATCTGTGTGAGAGCCATGGGGAGAATTATAACAATGTGTAGACAACTGAGACAGAATACCCTGAACCTGTGGCTGCACCACCACCGCCACAAAACACAGATGTGGGAGGGAAAGCAAAGCGGGATGCTTTTATGATACACCTTGTGGGGCAGTAGTCATTGGATTACATCCTACTGTATGTTTTGCCCAAATAAAGTTTTATCCACTCTGCAAATGTTTGACCTTTGAACTTCTTTTATGCACCACCACCTAAAAATTGTAAACATGACCAAATATATTTCATGAGTTTGTATTAAGTCAAGTGTGTACTGTACACATGAGCTTCTGATACTTCTAAACACGCCTGCTGACAAAAAGAATAAAAAAAAACCTCTTAAATCCAAATAAATTATATGGATATCATGTCCAAATTAATGCAGATCAGTTAGATAAAGCTGACTTAAGCAATTTTTTATGCACATCCAAGGCTTAGCCATATGTCTCAAGTTGTGGCCCTGTCCACACGTAGCCGAGGATCTGCCAAAACGTAGATATTTTTCTACGTTTTGGCCTGTCATCCACACGAAAACGGAGTTTTTTCACACGAAAACGGATCTTTTTAAAAACTCCGGCCAAAGTGAAGATCTGCGTTTTCTCCGTTTTGGGTGTCTGCGTGTGGACGGACAAAACCGGAGTTTTAAGGTCCGCAACGTCACTTTCCGCGACAAAAAATGCTGACATCACGTGTGCGACCTGTGTTTACATTAGCCGGCATCATGGAAGCCCTCAGAGCTGCGCTCTGTCACTACCCGATCCATCAATTGTCCAAGCGCTTTTTGCTTGTTTGTTTTTGCAAGCGGAATTACTGCTCCTTGCGGAAGACCACAGACGAAGGACGAGGTTAAGAACGGGGGAAGTACCCGGATAAATACGTTGTTAAGGACATGCCGCCTACAGGTCTGGCATGTCCTTAACAACGTATTTATCCGGGTACGTGTGGACAGAGTTTTTTTTTTTAAATGCGGTGGTGTGGATGCACGTTTTTGGAGGGGTGGATATTCGTTTTCAAAAAACCCCGGCTACGTGTGGACTAGGCCTAAGGC